AAATGCCCTCTCCAGGCACAACGTCGGCGCCTGGAGCGTCTTCACCCGCGGGGCTCCCCTCATCGGCCTTTGCGGTACGCCCAATCCCTCGGCCCTTTGCTCGATGAAGCTAATCAGATCTCCGCAGCTGCCGCCCCGAGCGCGTACGTCCTCTTCTCCCGAACTACGATGAACCTGCGCGAGAAGGAAGATATCTGGGCTACCACCCTCGGTGGTTTCGCCTGCGGTGCCACCCTCGGTCTTCCCTGTACGTAACCTTCGACGGGCACCTCATCATGTTGGGGGTCAATTGAGTTTACTGGTCATCATACTGACTACCCAAAAGTCAAGCGTTTCCCCCCCGTTTTTGGCCTCGGTGCTGCCGTCGGTCTCGCCCACGGTCTCTTCTACGTCTTTGGAAACCGTCTCGACTCCTTCAAGAATGAGGAGGACGAGTTTGAGCGCAAGGAGATTCTTCGAAGGAACAAGCGCCGCCCGATCGCCGAGACCATTGCCGAGGTTGGTGAGGGACGAGGTAGGTTTATTTCTCAACACCTTGCTCTTGAAGTTTTGGCTAACAACCCCTTCTTCAGGTATTATCTCACCTGGCTACGAGGAGCGCAGGAGGGCGCTTATCAAGGAGAAGTACGGTTTTGAAGTCGACCCTGTCAAGGCCACGGTGGACGGCAGCCAGTAAACAATATACAGTCTGACACCAGCTTGGTGGACGCATGATTTCTCTCTGTACATAAAAAATCATTTCCCGGGGTCGGTGTAACAGATGATACACTATTAAGAAATTGGAGTTCTTGTTTTGCCATGTCCTAGGGCAGGTGTAGTAGATTCGCTCACTCGATCTCTCGTTCTTCTGAGGCATAATGTTTTCTTTGTCAAGAACAAATACTCTGGATATTGCCTGGCTTGACGAGCCTTTCACTCTTGTTCACGGGTGATGTACTTTATTGTGGCGGTTAAGCTACTTGTCATGGCTTAGTTCTGTATTCGCTGACCGTTTTAGATTGTATGAAAGTTAATGATTACTTGGCTGCCGAATTCCCATTCCAACTTTGGCTTACATGCTTGCCACCTTGGCAAGCCGCCGATACCCAGACTCCGCAACACCAATTCCAAAAAATAGCCAACCTATGATGACCACTAAATTTGTTTCCTATTTCCATTATAGCTTATAGAGCCTTCACCGACTGGAAGAACGGGTTGGCCAGCAGCTTGGAATCAGCAGCTACCAAAGCCTTCAACTTGGCAACCTGCTCTTCCTTGCTCAGTTCGCCGCTTGCCACATCTTCCTTCCATTGCTTCAACAGGTCTTTGAGCATGGAACTGCCCTCCTCGACATCCTCCTTGCTGTAGTTCAGACTGTTGTCATCGTGCTTGGTGGTGAAATCCTCCAGCTCATCAGCCTTCCTCTTGGCCATCCGGATGACCTTGTCTGGGAATCGCACGAGCTCGGCAACGTGAATGCCGAAACTCTGGTCGCAGATCCCTGGTTCTACCTTGTACAGCAATGTGACTTCCCGCTTCCCGCTGGCGCTCTCGCCAGTGCCGCTGATGTGAGCGGTGACGTGGAGATTCTTCACCTGGGGGTACTGGTCGGCCAAGGCTGTCAGTTCATGGAAATGGGTGGCGAACAGGGCGAAGCAGCCGATCTCCTTGATGATGTGTTCCGAGATGGCCCATGCAAGGCCGAAACCGTCATATGTGGAGGTACCACGGCCCAGCTCGTCGATGATGATGAGCGACTCGGAAGTCGCAGACTTGAGGATATTGGCCGTCTCAAGCATCTCGGCCATGAACGTAGAGACACCCTTGAGCTGTGAGTCGCTTGCACCAACACGCGCCAGGATTGAGTCGAAGATGGTCAGCTGAGCTTCGCTGCACGGAACGAATGAGCCAATCTGGGCCATCAGGGCGATGACGCCTGCCTGTCGAATGAAAGTAGACTTTCCGCCCATATTTGGGCCAGTGATGACATTGAAAGATGACTTGCCACGGTCGAGCTCAATGTCGTTGGTAATAAACTGAATGTCATCTTGAAGTTCCATGCATGGATGTCGGGCTTCGCGCAGGATTGTCTGACCCTCCCCTCTAGGATGCATCTTGGGTCGTACGTAGGCCTCCGGAGCGTGGACGGCGCAGTGAGCAAGAGAAACAATAACATCAAGATGAGCAAGGACGGCGGCCAGCCGCTCGAAAACTGGACAGTAGGAGGCGGCAACCTGGACTACCTCGTGCACAAGGCTGCTCTGCGTCCTATTGTAATTTTGTGAGAGCTGATCGTACTCACGACGGTATGCTTGGAGCTGCTTTGTCGTGAAGTATACACCGTTCTTCTGGGTCGAGCATTCTTGATAGCTAGAGTTATTTCGGATGCACCCTGCTTCCTGGCGAGTAAGACGCATGCACACTCCGTGCACTTTGTGGTTTCTCTCGAGGAAGATTTTTTTGTCGGGCTCTTGTCCCAGGTCCCGTGCAGAAGCATGGAACTCGGCCTTGATGTCCCGGTCGAGTTGGTCGAGTTTCTTGCGGATTGTACGTAGGCTGGCATCGTATTCCGATTTGATGATATACTCGTGTCGGTCGAGTGCATCAAGATCAACAGTTTGCTCAACCATATCCTGCAGCTTGCCGAGGCTATCAGACAAGTCACGCAATTTTGTAGTGTAGGCTTCGTCAAGAGGGTCTCGGTACACCTCATCCATGACTCCCTCAAATGTGCCAATGAATCCCGGCAGTCTGATGATGACTTGATAAGCACGGACAACGTCCTCCAACGTTGCCTTCCCTCTCTGGAACTTCTTAGCCAGGCGGTACAAGTCAGGTACAGAGCGAAGATGCTCTTCTTGCATTGTTTGGCGGAGCTCGGTGTCGTTGAAAAAAGCTTCGACCAGCTGTTGACGTTTCTCAATCTCCGCCTTGCTCATAAGGGGCTGCTTGAGCCATTGGGCCAGTAGCCGACTGCCGATGGCGGTTTTGCAGTGGTTCAGTACACCGAAAATGCTCATCGTTTTCAGCCCATCGCGAGGTCCTGGCATCAAGTTCAAGGCTTTGAGAGCAGCAGCATCAAGCTTCATGAATTGAGCGAGATCGTGTTGATATAGCTGGTACTGACCAAAGTTGGACGGGTCTTGAAGAGCCCCTAGGTATTTGATCAGGGCAGCTGCAGAACCCATGGCAAGTTTGAGGTCAGTCTGGGGCAGCAGACTTGCAGATCGCTCATCTTTAAGTAGTCGGGCAAGATCTTGCTCAATATCTTTGGTGCCGAAGTCAGGAGCCGGGCGTTCAGCAAGCGCAACGCCGCAATTGTTGATGATCTGCTTGAGCTTGGACAACTCCGGGTCCTTTTCCTTCTCGCTCTTATCAATTTGAATCAAACACTCGCGGACACCCAGTTGGATTAGAAGAGCCTCAAAGTTTGAATAGAGGTCGTTGTCGAGGAATTCGCTGACACCGAGCTCCCTGACGCTTGCGTCTGCAAAGCACACTCCTACGTTGCGGGCTTCGGACGCCTTTGCTGTGATCTTGACGGCGATAATCATGGGAGCGGACTCAATCTGGCCCCCCAAATCATCCTCTACATCCTGGAGGTTTCCCGGGGAAGCTTGTTTGACACACTTCCAATTCATTCGACCACTGGCACTCTGCCATATTTCCACTCTTTTGCCGAGTTTCAACAAGGCCTCACGAAGAAATTGTCGAAATACGGTTATCGTCATTGATACAGAAGGGAGACCGCTCGCATCGTTTCGACCCAGTTGACGTAAAACTGATGTTGTTTTATATACCTGCACCTGCTAGTTAGACTTGGATCCCATCACGGGATGGACGGGGCCAACAATGTTCACGTACGGTTTGCGCAATGTAGGTGGCATCTTGAGCATGAGCGGTATACCAATCCCCTCGATCGAAAATCCGCACAGTGTCTTCGCCCACATCCGGAAGAGATTTGAAGAATCGGATAAACCCGCCTTCATCGTCGAGCTTGTGTTCAGGTCAGCTTTGGGCCTTCGGAAGCAAATGAGAAGCGATAGCCTACCTTCAGCTCTGGTCGAGAGGCCATGACCGGCGAGGGACTAAATGTGCGATAAAAAAAGACCAAACGGGTTTTCAGATGGGAAACTTGGAACTGAGATGGAAATAGATGAAATTATTAATAAAGGGCGAGGTGGAAATGGCTGGAAAGTCAATGGCTTGAGAGTGTGCTAGCTCTTGGTCGCGTCTTCAGGGGACCCCGCGACCGGAAGACGCGTTTCAATTAAAAAAAGAAAGTTAGTGACGCGAGATTCCCTCCAGGGTGGGCAGAGATAATTAGGTGTTTGATTTCTCAACACTACCCCTTAATATTAATTTTAGGTACTAGATGATCGAGCACTCTTAATATCAGCGAGATATGTTTCTCATTTGATGTCTACTACTTTATACCTATTGAGAGTGCACAACATTGCGTTTCTGTGTTCGGTGTGAAATAAGAGTCGCTTGGCGTACTACTTACAGTAAGAAATGCAACAATGCTATAGACGCCTTTATACCAAGTTATTCTGACAAATCAAACGTTATTTGGCCTTACCAAACGCTGAGGCAATGCGACGAGTTGTCCAGATGCCCAAGAAGTTAAGCAGGAATTGCCACGATTTCATACTTCACTGCCGGCAAAGTCCCGCCATCACTAAAGAGGACAAAGAGTCCTGTTTTGATATATTTTTAACAATCACCACGTTCCTTGCGGATGTTGTGCAATTCCTACGCCAAGCAGACGATAATTTCTCAGAACTGACATATGCTCGCGGTGAGAATTCCACCTCAATAACGCATAATTATTATTGCGAATATTTGTGAACAAATACTAGAAAGTCAGGCCGCCCCAATCTGCCCGCGGCAATGTCTCCGGCAGCGGGGAAACCTTACGAGTCAAGGAACCTGCGAGGCGGCTGACTACAATCATCGCTATGGAGTCAGGACTCACTTATCCCAGCTCGAGGCAGTCTAGCCTGATGCAGTCCTCTAACCTATTTGGCAACACCTTGTAGTTGACATACATCCAATGTGTGAGCAGTCTCGAATCCTTGAAGCAGAGCAACCACATGTGTGTACATCGCACATAAAATTGCGATATGAAAGAACTGGTGCGAGCTTCCCCAGATATCGAACTTGCCTGGTGCTAGACGCTCGGGAATTCGGAACTGCAATAGAGTTGTCAGAATGCTGCTCTCCAAGGAGTAAAATTACGTGGTGAGCATGCAACATACCCCGTACAAGAGGACTCCGGTGCCATAGAAAGTGAGCTCGAGAAGATACCACTTCATTCCCGCATAGTGAAGCATGAAGTCGAATCCATACCGCCGAACACCATGCACTAGGGGTATGAAGGCTGAGGAGCCGAAAACAACAAAGGCAGCCGCCTTCACGTTTCGCCAGCGCGGGGCCTTGAGCAAAGGATGCGAGATCAGGACGCCAGTGATAGTGCCTGTGGTCAAGATCTGGAGCTCATATCATGTTAGCACATCCTTGGATCCATGCCGACTACGTGGTAACGTGAGTGGTGTCACTTGGATAGACTGACAGTGGCCCAGTGCAGCTTTTGCAAGCTCCCTTCACAAAAGAACACATAGTAGATGCCGGAGAAGAATGTGCCCACTGTCACAATAACAATACCGAGCAGATCCATGCCATGCCAGAACAGCTCTACACGATGGGAGTGCGGTTGCATCAGGTGGTACAGTGTGCTCAACACCAGGCAGATCTCCGCACAAAAGAAGAAGACCCCGAACATAGCATAGTCCATGGTCGTAACATCGAGGACTTGAGGTCCGGCTAGGCCACGGAGGAAAATCGGTACGGCAAAAGGCAGAAGGAGAGCCGGGACCATGTGAGTGTAGACGTTGCAAGTCTCGTTGTGCATGAAGGTCAGGCTCCTGAAGACCTCATTATAGTCTGCCTTCTCTGGTCGATAGCCACTGAGGATGAATTTGTTATCAAACTGCCACTCGGAGATCTCTCGCCAAGTGACAGTCTGGGCGTTGGGCTTCGCAGGGCTTGGGCGGTCGGTCGTGCTGCTCATCTCGACTTTTGGCACGTGCCGTTTCTTGAGATCTGCTCCTGACATGTCCTCGTTCTTTTGCACTGGGGATGAAGCTGAGGAGGCGTATGTGACGTGGACAATGTAGAGATGGCACCCGGCTGGGCGTTTACTGAAGGTTGGCGAGAGAAGCAGGGAATGGAAAGAGGGAATAGAGTCAAAGAAAAGTCGGGACTGTGACAGTCAGCTTGCACAGCTGAAATGGTGGCTCAGCGCTAGCGGTTTGACTAAGGATCTCAGAGGCAAGAAACTTTAGAATCTAACACAGTTGACTCTTCAACTGATCGCTGTAGGCGGCAGTCTTTTGGCGAGCAATGAAGTCTAAGCAAAGCAGGTTACGTGGATATATATTGAGTACCTTTACATTGCGACTCTAACTATCTGCAATGTCAAGAAAGTGTTTATAGAAGTGGGCAAGAGCAAATCAGGAACCCCGAGAGAACCTTGAGAGTTCCGTGCGATGATATGCACTATATACTCCCACGTGATAACCCAAACTGGCAGTCCCTGTTCGTCTAGCGGTACTTAATCATATTTAGAGACACGAGCATAGGACTGATAGGGCCACTAAATTAACAATCTAATTTAACTAACTATTGCATATTTGGTTTTATAACTCCGACTCAGGGGTAGCAATAGGAGATCGATGTGATGTTCCCCAGTCCTCGTTGATGTAGTTTAAGCCAGGAGACTGGGTTCTTGTTTCTGAAAAGGTTTCTATTTCATGGAACTCCTGCTCCACGGACTCTTGCTCAAGACTATGCTCCTGAGATGCAGATTGCTCCTCTATTGGGAGTTCTGTATGCGCATGATCTTGATTCTGCGGTTCTCTCTTTCTTGTCGACTTTATTCCGAGCTTATAGCTGATCTCAGGTTCGGATTGCGGGGTTGGTGCAGGGGATCCAGGGGCGCTATTCGGAGCTACAACTGGAGATCTCTGTCGAAGTCTCGAATTAGCCGATAGTCGCATGTGCTGGCTCCTGAGTCGCTTCAGGGGGCGCTCATGTATTTTCGCTCTGCCAGAGGTCAAGTCCATGAAAGACGGCTTTAGGTCTAGTTGTGCTTCCTTCCTCTTCTTCTCTGGCTTGAAGCATCACGGATCAAGGGTGATGAAAGCCTGAGCAAGAGCGGCGCTGCTGACTAACCGGGGGAGGATGTGGGGTCACCCAGTTTTCGTGGAAGACTACCTACCTAGGTAGGTATAGGTAGGCAATACATGCCACACTATGTATCGCCACCATTGCCTCCGTCCTCTAATTTGACATATTCGACATTCCTGAATAACTACTCGCAAGATTCAGAACTAACGTGAGAATTACCTAAATCAATGTTGCGACGAAGAAGCTATAAATCACTACTATCCCAGATACCACAAGGAGTTATACTTTCAAACCTTCCTACCCTACATCGGCGACAGGACTCATGAGGTTAGCTAACACTCGAAGCAAGCCGCATATTAGCTATTTGAAGAGCACAAATAATGAAGCCGCAAGGCGACCTAAGGAAACTTAGTGTATTTCTGGTACTCTTGGAATTGTTGGGTGCTTGGGTCAAATGCTATGCTTTCCGGACGATCATGCTTAGATGATGGTATAAAACTTGATATTATAACTTTTGATGTACGTTAACTTATGTGCCTATTCCGTTCTAATTCCAATGTTGCCCCCTTGTTTACCCTATCTATGAAGGAAAAGAAAGACTAAGAACGCCGATATGAAGTTGGGCAACAGTATATGCAATATATAGAGAACCTGAGGCGTTCTTACCGATGCAAATAATTCCATGAAAAAATGCGGCCGTGAGTCATATTCAAGGAGGACCGGATTATACCTTTGCCTTGAGCCCCCATCCAGCTTGGGAAACTCTTGACATAATAAAGAAAGCAGAACCTAACAGCATAGAGCAGCCACAGAAGAGCTGCAGTCCAAGGTAGCCGCCTCCCTGTGCCGATACGATGGCTCCGCCGATGGGGCTACCGACGAGTCCGCCAAAGGACTGAATTGCGAATGCAGTTCCGACACGGGTGCCGATCTGGCGTATATCGGACACCTGGGCAATGAGGGTTGGCGCAAGAGAGATGACTCCGCCCGAGGAGAAGCCAAAGATGACGGTGAAGACGAGGATGCCGGCCGTGTTGTTGATGGGGATCCAGATGGCCAGACAAAAGATGGCTGACATGAGGCAGATGATGACGACGACGTTGAACCGACCAATTTTATCGGCGACGATGCCTGGCAAAATACGTCCAAATATACTAGTTGGTGCAAGTTAGTGACAAATTCCTCCGTAGCTATCTGAATCAGAGGTCATGGATGATTACCTGACTGCATTGAGAATAGAAAGAAGGTATGGAATCAGCGTCTCAGACATGCCCGCGGTCTCAGCCTGCGTCAAGACATAGTTGAATGGTAGGAACATTCCGAGGTAAAAGAAGAAGTTTCCGGCGATGGTAAGCGTAAAGGCAGGTTCGCGCAACCCGCTGATGTAGTCCTTGAAGACGAAGGGCTTCGGCTGTGGAGGCAGGCGGGACTTAACGGTCAACGCAGTGATGGTGAGTAGGAAGAGGAAGAGAAAGGCCATGGTGCGCATCATCCAAGGGAAGCCGACGCTCTTGATCATTCTATCCATCATGATGGGAAGGACGACACCGCCAAGAGATGAGCCAGAGACCATGATACCAAAAGCTGCAGCGCGGCGTTTGAAAAACCAAGTTACCAGAGAGGTCATACAGGCGTTGAAAATGGCCGAAGAACCAAGGGAAGACACAATGGCTTGAGCGAGGAAGAATTGGTAGTAATCGTTGGCCAAGGAGGTCATCATGAGACCAAAGACATAGGTGACGGCGCCGATTCGGAGTAACCAAGCCGGTCCGTACGAATCAAGAAGCCTACCAAACTAATAAAAAGTTAGAGGAAGAGCGGATTTAGAAGGAAAACGGTGGAAAGGAAAATTGTGAGTGTTAGACATACCACTGCGCCGGGGAAGATCATGAGAAAGACCTGTGTTGACATGATCCAGCTCACAGCCGAAGGGTCATAGTTCTTCAACGGCCCATTGACATAGTATCGCTGAAACACACCCACACAATTGACCAGCCCAAACGTGCAAAAAAGACCACACCAGCCTCCAAAAGTTACCAGCCAGGCCGTAGTGCCGCCATCTGGAAAGTCGTTTACTGGAGCCGGTGGGGCGGTCTCGCCATTCTTCTCGTCGTCTACAGCATCGTCTGCGAGAGCAATTTCGTTCTTCTCGATGTCTTTGACATCAGCAACACTAGAGTCTGCTACCTTTGTGGTATCATCTCGTTTGGGCTGCTCGTTCACAGTCGCCGAGGAGATTGATGAGCCCGGCATCTTGGGCGAGTAGGGCTGAATGAGGCTCTCTGGATCTGCCAAGAAATCTGATATGTGAAATAAGTAACCAGTGAGCTTGGGTACAACTAGTGTTGGGTGCAACCGTTTAGCTGAGGATTCTTGGCGCTTAAACAGGGGCCGCCCCTTTATATGTATTCAGATATGAAACGAACTTGAATTGAAATACTAGGGTAGGCAAAAATCTCCAAATTGTGGCATAAGAAAGGTGCCAGGATAGCCAACAAGTTCAGCGACGATGGAGATAATGAAGGATCCGGGGAATGATATTATCTCCGTATGATTCTATAGGCCCGCCCCCAGTTCTCCACCTGTTTGTCCAGGGGACCTATTTTCCTACCTAATAAAGATTCTGTTGCCTCTACATTATTAATCTACTGTCGGCAATATTGGCCTCGGATGGCGAGATGGGATGTAAGTCAGCCTAGTTGGGGTCTTTTGGAGCTCGGGATTATTAATTCAGGCCTACCCTTGACTAGCTTATCCTCATCCACAACCTGGCTTACTTACCTCTTTCGTGAGAGCGAAATCTCAACTTGATCAAGGGGTATTGTATACTCGAGCGTAGGCAGGCAGTGCGTATTTTGGGTTTAACAGCCATATTGAAAGAAGAGAAGGAGAAGCGTTCCGTTTTCTCCTTCACTCTCTCTGCAAAATGGAATGTTTTTGGTTCTTTGCCTTTATTACTGTCTCTGGTTGCATTACTAGTATAAAAGATCACCACTACTCGCATTACTATTTCGCGTTGTCGGCCTTAAACTTAGGCGCGAGGACAGACCGAAGAGCACACAGATGTCCGGAACCAGATCGGCTCCACTTAGTTCGGACATCGCTTACATTGAACTGAAGAATTTGGATTCTTGTATGTATTTTTCATCGGTTGATGTTAATGCTTAGGTCATGTTCTTTTCGACTACGTAGCTCATAGACCAGATGGGAAAAGACGAGGCAAGGAAGGATTCTAATAATACAGAGAAAAACCTGCCCGCAGAGGGCGAAAATGGAGACATTTTATTAATGAAAGCCGTCCCGTACCCGCTCTATTGCACATATTCTTTTAGATCCTTCTTGTCCTCAAACGTAACCTTTCCGTCTTTTTGAACAGTAGCCACGTGAATGGCACTGGGGGCCTGCTCGCTCTTGGGCGTCTCAGTGGCCTGAACAGGTGGTAGCTTGGCCTTGGTTGTCGATTGAACAACCTTGGAAATATCGCCTGCCGGTGCATCTGCGATTTCATTTACATCCCGGTTGGTCAAGACGTCGGAAACACGGACACCACGGCTGGAAAGGAAAATCGTGCTTGGTCCCTTGAATTGCAGGAATAGGCGATCGCCCCATATCGTCCTTCGCATCATGGTTCGCAGACTGAAGAGCACACGCGAGATGTACTGGTATGCGCTTGTCTCGCGCACTTTCTTCACGTACGCCAAATCGACGAACCAGTTACTCAGCGAGGGGATTTGCAAGCTAAAGCTTGAACTCTTGAACCGGAATGGTCGTGGCGGGGTTCGTGAAATTGAGTATGCGACTACGCTGCCTGGATGGGCAACAAATTCCTCGCCTTCGTCCAGAGTGAGCTGGTAGATCTGACCCGGTGCTGAAAGTGCTGCCAGTCCCCGGCCGGTTATATGTGTGCTGCCCCAGTTCGCAAGTGAAAGTCCCTGCTGAATCCGTGAGGATAGGCTGAGCGTATGTCCCGTCCAAGCCAACAATGCATTTCGTTGTGAAACCATCCAATCAGTCGTGCCATCAAGGTGGAGAACAGTAAAAGTGGTCGTCGGGCTCTTCGTCGAAATTAGGGCGGTAATGGGTGACGAAGCTGTGATACGTTGATAGAGGAAGGGAACCCCGAACGGCGCTCGGCCCAGAGGGTTCAGGACTGATAGTGTAGATTGGGCCTATTAAGTGAACCAGTATCTTCATTAGTTCGGAATAGAGAAAAAAGAAACCATTTCGATGAGATGAGAGGTCATACATTTTCGGGCTTGCCGGCAACAGCTACGAGTGTGCCCCTCCTCGTGTACAGCTTTTGAGATGCCGAGAGTGTCACTGATAAAAGCGAGTAGGGAGAGCCGAGGACCTCAAATCGAGCATCTTGTCAACACAGCCAATTAGTAAATTGTCCAATTGAGCATGGGGGAGGAAGCCCGCAGCTTACCAGCAGCATCTCTTGATGAACCAAAAGCATCGCCACCAACACGAGGGGTCTCACTCGTCGGCGCGGCGCTGATCTGTATCGCTCGACATTGGCGAAAAAGAGAGCTTGATGAAGCCTGGGGGCGTATCGATCGATGCGCCGTCCGCAACATTGGCGAGCGACCTCGCATCATGCTGCCTGGAGAGCTCGGAAGGGCATTTAGATATTCGATCTGCTCGTTGCATCCATAAAAAGCGCCTCTGTCGTCGGAGCCGGCTTTTTCCGCCAGACGTCACTGCGGCTCACGTGCTGGTTGCTGGGACAACCTTAGCCGCCACGGAAATCCACAATAGCTTTTGCCCTAGGCTAGGAGATCTACTCCCTACGAACTAGCCAGGGCTACGACTCGAACACCCGGGGCATTTTCCATCACCATCGGATGAAGTGCGAGGGGCGGATTCATTGGGTCCTTTTTCTTTAGTTTTTCGCGTTTTTTACTAACCATAGCAGGTCAATTGCTCTCCGCGATGTCTGTCCGTGTCGTAGCAAGGATACGTCCTCTCCTGGATAAGGAGCTGGACAAGGACATCATTGTGAAGCCTGACAGCGCGGAGTCTGGGAAGCCCTACACGATTGTGAAGATTCCAAACCCCAAGAACGAGGCTGAGGACTTCTCTTTCGCGTTCAATTCCGTGTATGACCAGTCAACGTGTCAGGAGACCCTGTTTACTTCTGAAGGTACGCGGTCCAATTGGATAGGAGATGGGGCAACGGTTAGGAGAAGTCATTGAACATGCTAACAAGACATACGCGATCAGTGTCTCCCCACGTCAAGTCCCTATTCCAAGGCTACGATGTAACAATCTTTGCCTATGGTGTCACGGGAACTGGCAAAACTCACACAATGCGAGGAGGGCTCAAGCTTGCCGAGCGAGGAGTGATACCCCGACTCCTGAGCAGCGTCTTCCGTCGAGGCAAGAAGATCATGAAGGACACGGAAGGGAACACCACAGTACGCGTCGCCCTATCATACTACGAGATCTACAACGACAAGGTATTCGACCTTCTCGAACCCCCAGAGAAACGGACACCCAGCGGGTTGCCTCTGAGAGCAGAGGCAAGTGGCAAGACGGTTGTGGCTGGGCTTTCTGAGCGAGCATGCGAGGACCTTAAGGACTTCGAGAAGCTTTATATTGAGGCAAACAACAACCGTGTCACGGCGGCGACGAAACTCAATGCTCATAGCAGTCGAAGCCACGCTATCCTGCGCGTCAAGTTGACGCAGACCACGGGCGAAATAGTTCGCGAAAGCACCGCGTCCGCCATTGATCTTGCCGGTTCCGAGGATAACCGAAGAACAGACAATGGGAAGGAAAGACTCATCGAGTCTGCTGCCATTAACAAGAGTCTCTTCGTTCTCAGCCAGTGTATCGAGGCTATTTCACGAGGCGACAAGCGGATACCTTATCGGGAATCGAAGATGACGCGCATCTTATCGCTTGGCCAGAACAACGGGATCACCATCATGATCCTTAATCTGGCTCCAATGAAGAGCTATCACTTGGACACTCTGAGTAGTCTTAATGTCAGCTCGAGAGCCAAGCGTATCGAGGTTCGTGAAATAGAGAATGAGGTGGTTTTCAAGCAGTTTCCTAAGACGAGCTCAACCACCACTTCTGGTAACATTCACCGTCAACCTCTTCGACCCCTTGCCAACGCGCACAATGTCCACAATGGAAATGTGGCCGCCGCAGCAAAAGCCACGGATGCGAACAAGCCCGTAAAGGCCTTCAGTGTCTATACTGACAAGTCGAAACCCACGCCGGTGACCTCCCAACCACTTGTGTTGAAGCCGCTCGCGAACACCAGCAACACTCGCCGTTCCACCCCAGCAAAGCGACCATCCGACCAGGAGGCCCTTCATGTCAGACCCAGTAAGCTGGCTCGGCCAATTGGCCAACCCCTGATGCCACGGTCAACGGCAACTTTGGCAGCTTCGTCTACCACATCTAAGATGACCGTGTCCGCCGAGGAAATCGAGGCTATGGTGGAGAAGAAGGTTGGGGAGATTCTGGCAGCAAGAGCCGCAGCAGAGAAGTCGGCCGTCCCGGTCCAAGTTCACGTTCAACCTGGGCTCGACGATGCGGTGCAGAAGCGGTTGGATGCATTGGAGCGTCGAATAGAGAGTGATGAATGGCGCGAGGATGCCAAATCGGAGGGCCTACGGTTCCTCCTGGCCGCGAGGCAGCACAAGGAGAGAGGAGAAGATGCTGCCGCGTTGAAGGCGTATGAAATGGCGCTTCCTTTCTTCCCCGGTCAGGCGAAGCTTCTAAGCAAGATCGAAAGATTGAAGGCGAAGCTTCATAGCGCCGAGAGGCCAAGGCCTGAGCATTTCTTCGACGTGAAGGAGAAGGTAACGAGGAAGAAGAAACGGAGAACTACCTCTGACGACGATGAGGTGGATGCCGACTATGAGGATGCTGAGGCGGATGTTGAAGAAGCGACGTTTGTGAAACCTGCGTCTCGCCGACCACGAGTGAAGGCTGTTCCTCGCACAATCCTCCCCGATGATAATGGCCCTCCATCTCCCCGGGCCCAGCAGCTTCTGGATATTGTCAACTCGCGCGATCTTGTACAGATCAAGAGCCTCGTCGGATTCGGGGCAAAGAAGGCTAAGGATTTGGTGGATTACCTTGAGCTTATGAGTGTGGATGAGGAAAATTGCATCGACAGCCTGGGTCAGTTGAGGGCTGTGCCAGGTATGGGTGGCCGCACCATTGACAGGGCGTATGAAGGCCTCCTCGCTATGTGAAGGACGTAAAAAACGTCAGCATCGTAAGCGACCTAAAGAGAAGGGTGCTTAAAACTTGGAGTATTGTTTTTGTGTTTTTTTTTTCCCGGCATTTGGGACGGCGTTTTTGGATCTTGTTTCAACATATATCACAGGGCGTGGTTGTCCTTTCTGGGGTTCGCTTTTTTTGGGAACCGGTTGCATTTAATATTGGTTTAGAGTTTCTTGCATTTTGATAGTTTGGCCATCAGCTTGGCCGCAAATTCCCAGAGTCCTCACTGCCTCTTGCTGAGGGATCCACGGTAGCGGACGATGTTGCTCTATATTCGAATCAAAAGCATTAGCTGGCTCTTGTCTGAAACATGAAACCCTGCGTTATCCAGTGAACTGTCCTTTTTTGGAAATGACAATTGTTCTTCTGACGTCGATCTCAACGTGTGCCGTGGACCTAATCGCTCCTTTGCAAGGGAATGGCTCCCACGCAGCGACGCGAAAGCCACCATCTCGACCCACTCATACGATTCGCTCCGGAGGCCCCAATTGGCGAGCCGCATGCGGGCAGAGGCCAATTGGAATAACACCAAGGGAAAATAATACGAAGGGACGACAATGCCCAGGGACAGTTCGTTCCTCGGCCTCGCTGCTTGTGCCACCGCGAGTGGTGTGGTCCGGCTCAGGCTGTGGCCGCGGGTGGAACCACGCCCGTCCCAGCCGTCGCGCCAAGACACTGTCGCAGATCACACAACGGGACATGGAGAGAGAGACAAGCGAGCGGGACAAGACATGGACACGCGACGCGGCATGCCGTAGGTAAAGTCGATCACCGTCGAGCCAATTTCCCCCGGGGGCACTTTGCAGATACGACCGTGTCTATATTTCAGATACTCGTGACTAACTGCTAGAGATGTATGTAGATCGATATATAGTCTGCTCTTAACTCTAAGCGCTAAAAGAGTGACCCAGAGAATGTGCCTGTGAAGGGGAGCCGCAGCCCGAACAAAAAAAGGGAATAGGTAAGGTAAAAGTAAAAGCAAATAACAATAATCGTGAGGCCAAAAAGTTAATAGTCGCCCGAAAACAATGCAGGACTTGAAAATTAGTCGTAGCCAAGAAAGGTTTCGCTCTCTACTCCAGGCTGTCGAAAGAGATGATGACGAACCCCAACTTGTTCTTCATATCTGTGAACCCTCTCATATTTCCATCCCGGAAAAAACCATTTGTACATTTCCCTTGAATCTTTCATGTCTTTCTCGTCATTAAGGTTCTACCGGATCATGCTTAATCTTCGCTCTGCTTTGGATGTTTGCTTCTCAAAGGTGCCGCCGAAGCCGGGCATGGAGCTGTAACGGTTCAGTCTCTTGCGCTCAGCCGTTGTGGGCTGTGTGGATGGCATGGCAGCAGCCGAGCTGGGAGTCTCGGCAACGGAAGAGGAGACGGGCACGGCAGTCACGGTGAAGCCGGGCCCAGCCTTGTCGCCGTGTAGTGCGTTGGAGCGGTCGGTAGCATCGGACGAGGTAGAGGAGCCAGTGCTGTTCTGGTAGATGTACTCGCCGTCGACGTAGACAGCGTTGGAGACGAATGCCGAGCGTCGGTGACGGCTGCGGGTGTAGCGCTTCTCAAGGCGGAGAAGCTCCAGTTTGGCTTGGATCTTGTCGAGGAGACTCTTGCCCATGATGACGTTTGGGATGGGGAGTTTTCTACGGATGGAGGGTTCGTGTAATGCGAGCTCGTGCCAAGATGGGTGCTCGGTTATCGATTGAAGCCCAAGGAGGATGACACTTTTGACAGGTGCGACAGCTCTCTCGTTGGATGCTCGTTGGATTCAACACCGTAGGTATTATGGCGAGTCGCTATTCGTACGTCGTCTGTTGGTGGAGGATAGGTGTTGAAGACAAGCAAGCACACGAGGAGGTCGATTGTGGATGTAGAGAAACGAGAGGCAACGGCCGTGAGAAGGATGATATCGCCAGGAAATCTTCCGTCTGCCAATGGTCCGATTTTTTTTCTTATTCGGGGGGCGGGGATGCCAGTTGAGAATGAGTGACTGAGGGCAGGGGGGAAATAAGGAGGTTTGGGAAGAGAGCGTGCACGATGTAGATAAATGGCAGGCCTACTGTGTAGGTTGAAGAAGACGGGTTGGACCAGCTTCAGAATTTGGCAAGCGGATGGACACCCCGGACAGGTACTATTGCTCCGTGCGTTTCTAGCCTGACAGCCCAAGACGAAAGAGGGTATGCGCGATATGGTTTGCACTCAGCAGCTTGGGTCGAGGACGATAAGATGGCCCAAGGATGGGCTGGGAGGGGCTTTGATCCTGGGTTTCTGCATGGCAACGACTCGAAGACACCCACCTGGCGAATCAGCAATGCATGTCTGACGGATCCCCCAGACGGCCGCGCATGGCGCTAGACAAGCCCTGCTACCAAGGTGTCGAAAGCAAAAGCCTGGCATGGTCGCATTTATTGCGGAGCTCTGCTGGGGGCCGCACGCAGGGGATGTCCGAACAGCCTCTGGAGCACCACCGTTGGCGATGCTTGCCGGCAGGTCGACTGCATCCAGAGCATGCGCATCATGCCAGGTCAGGGAGGTAGCGACGGTGCGTGCATGAGCCGGGCAGCGGGCATAAAGCAGGTAATCACCATTGCGTTGGGGTCCTGCGTCTGCAATCGTCTATGTTGCGACTACGGATACGGCGCAAAGTCAATGCTAGTCAGATGAATGCAATCAACGGACGTGCGCTAACGGGCACCCTAATGATGGGCACACATGGCGTTTTAGCGCAGCAAGCGTAGCATGTCTGCAATTCTACTGTAATGAGCACGCAGGACCCAACTCTGCACTGTCCAACGTCTGGTGATTGCGGGATCGCCATGGCGCTGGTACGGTACATGAGCTACATATGTACTGGCAGGATTGGGCGTGCTCCGTACCTGTCTGAGTGAGACCAGGTCCACGGCCGCAGGTGGTGATTGATTTTCAGGGGTTGAAGAGCCACAGACGGGACGGGAGCTATGATCAAATCAGGCACATTGTGTGCTTAGGTAAGGAAATCGCTCTACTGCGGCAATTGTTGATTGGCCACGGGTGTTGCCTCACCACACTAGTACCTGCTGTAGGTGCACATCTTGGCTTTGGCACCATTGACCGGAGTTTGCCACAGGGGCCCCGGGACCAGCGCTAGCCTAGCACCTGGGACCAACCCGCTGGGCAGCTCGCTAACTGGAATTGATCCAGGCATTATTAGTAGAAGGGCTGGTAATAATCATCGACAGCGACCTACCTAGCTTACGCTAACACCACTGCTGCGTTCCAGTTGCCACCACATATGGATCCTTCATCCATTGTGCCATCCGCTCCCACATCCGTCCCAGCTGCGTGCGTACGTATGCCCAAGCTCTCGACACCCTCAGCAGCCCTCCATCCAAGTCGTGCTACGCAGCGCGTGTCGCACTGCATTAGCCCAGATTCTGCGTCCTGCCGTAAATGATGGCCTCGATTCTCGGTAATCGCTCCTCGTCAAGCCCTCCTACGAGGTACGTAGCAATTGTCATCCTGGCCTGGTGAGCCCGCCACACTTCCTCGTGTTCGCTCTGCGGCAGAGTGGCCAACCGGGGAACGCACCGCTGGCTTTTGGTGGCCCCGACGCATGCAGAGAAGAGACCTAGGATTGTTTTGGACCGGCTCAAGAGCACTGGAATCCGTCAGGGACCCCCTCCAATGTGGGCTCGCCCCTCTCTGCCAGCCACTCACTGGCCCCTGTGCTCCTATTAGGTAGGTGGGCAATTAATACAGCTACACGTGCTAATAGTTTCCGAGCACTTGCAGCTTCTTTCTCGAACGGTGGGGGAGAAGACGGGCTAGAGATGTTATCGGCGTCTCTTGGTTGGCGCTAGCATATTGCGAAGAGCTGGCCTGGATCCAGGACTAACTGGTCTAAGCCACGGGTAAATTGAACCGGATTGAACTTGAATCGAGTATCAACCTCAACGGTTTAGCTATCGAAGTTGTCACTCGCACTATCTCCATCATGGACGGGACGACAAGCTGGGGTGGAGAGGGTAGGATACCACCAAAGTTCCTAGTTTGAGCAAACCAACTTATCGCCGATGAACCGCCAAGCTTTGCCATCCTGATATTGCCCTGTTGTACCAAATATCTGTCTATTTATCAAGGTGCTACTGCCAGGACTGACGGCAAATCAAACAGCTCCAGATAATCCTCAAGTTGTGTCACAATAGTCAAGAGTCAGTCGCAGTAGACAGCACAACATGGCCTTGTTTCGTCATCATCTGCTTTCTGCTTTACTGCTAGCCACGAACACCAAAGGTATGGTCCGAGACATCTGGTTTCGCATGATCCCATCTGCCGCAGGGGTTCACTCTCTCACCGCTGCTGGAAGAGCCGTACCTTTCGAGCTCGTCAAGGTAAAAGTGAAGCTCACAAACTATACAGCCTGGCAGACCACTTCTGGTTGGGTTGACTGCAATTCGGGATGTTCTTTCATTTCGCGTCTCTGTGTGTGCGTGTCACGTCATGGTCTGCAACATGCCAGTGCCAATTTTAATTTCATGTCATTGTGTCAAAAGGCTGTCAAGTTGAGTAACACACGAAGCCGGGTTCCTACCGACGACATGTACGCCCACTTCCGTAATCTCATACTCGCTCGAGTCCATGCTCACAGATTTTGGCCCAATTGCTCTAGAGATCTGAGGAACAATTACGACTGACGTCTGTAAAACTAATTGGCCCTCGACCAATCGCTCTCGGCGAGTTGTGACCCCAATCCATCTATTATCCGTCAACAATTGAGCTCGAGTTCCGTCTGTCGATGTGAGGACAAGCACGATGGCGGAACATTGTTAGTTTAGGCAGCTCTTGGTTTCACGTAGCGTCTTGAGGATCTCGGTGCCTTGTTTGGATATCCCCCCCTCCCCTTTTTTTTTCGCACACCCCATAAACATGAAGCCCAACGTGACACCAGAGCATACTGTCCGCACTCGGTCATGGACAGACGTGATTTGAGAAAAGCAGTAGCACAAGGTAGCTCCATGCGACATCCGCGCCATAACAATATTGCCGACGTGCCGGTGGCTATAAGAGATGAGTTTTCTCATCGTCAATGCCTAGGTATCTCCTCCCTTGCCCCCCATGTGCCCATCGTTTGTAGTTTGACTCCCTGTTGGTGTGTTGACAATGCGGCCGGTCTCTCAGCTATTGGTACTCCTGGCGTTGGTACTTGGCACGGCGGCCAGATCGTATCATCGCCGTGAACAGCACACCCAGATCCTCAAGGACCCCGGGGAGCGGCATGAGACTGGAGGAACAAACAAGTATATCATCGAGGTCGAGAAGGTTAGTAGCCCTGAAGAAGCTTGGGGATGGCCCCATCCCAGACGAGGACGGAGAGGTGCTGACACAACGTCAAGGGCACGAGACTCGGGACTCTTACAAAGAGATTTGAAGAGGAATCCCAGGCTAATGGCACTTACTACAAGGAGTTTGATTGTAGTGATGTGTTCTCTGGTCTCACCATTGAATCAAAGACCGACAACGTCGACTCACTGCTCTCAATGGAGGGAGTCGTCAACGTCTGGCCCTTGAGATCTGTCCCAATGGCGCCGCTGGCGAAGAGAACAAAGCTGTCGGGTAATATGAAACATCCAAACACCTCTGCTCACCACTGGACAGGAGTGGATAAGCTACATAAGGCTGGAATCAGAGGCAAGGGCGCCACCGTGGCAGTGATTGACACTGGGATCGATTACACCCACAAGGCGGTAGGAACTCATAACTGGACGTTAGTTCTACTGATTTCTAACAAATTCTGTAGCTTGGTGGCTGCTTTGGGCCTGGATGCAAGATCTCTGGAGGATACGACCTTGTTGGGGCAGACTGTAAGTGACGGCACATGGGCTGGAAAGATGAGAGCGAGGCTGACTTACCAAACCTAGGGGATTCTCACGAAGAGATGCATTTTCCTAAGAAGCCGGACGATGATCCAAGAGACTTCTATGGACATGGAACGCACGTTGCGGGCATAATTGCTGGACAGAGCGACTGGTGAGAATGAATACCTGAGCGTCTTGACCTTTCTCCAGAGTTTATCGTTAAATAGTCCGTCTTATAGGTTCACTGGGGTAGCACCTGATGCCGACCTCCTCATATACAAAGTGTTTTCTGATGCATGTACCCCGATATCGCACGCTGGGGTTTGGGTGACTGACAACGCAAGCAGGATCCATTGGACACTGACGAGGAGGTCTTGATCCAAGCCTTCTGTGATGCGTATAGCGCGGGCGTAAGTTACTCCCATCCGACACAGACACGTTATACAAGATCTCACCGCGGACTAGGCCGATATCATCACGGCAAGCATTGGTAGGCCTAATGGTTTTGTGGACAATCCATGGGCGTTGGTTGCCAGCCGTCTTGTCCAGCGAGGCATTGTTGTCACAATATCGGCTGGGAATGAGGGCTATACAGGCCCTATCTACTCCAGCAGCGGCTCGAACGGAGACGGAGTCATCTCTGTGGCTGCAGTCAATGCCACCGGAAACACCAACGATACTGTGGATTCCAGACCAGTTGCCGCTTACTTTAGCACTTGGGGTCCTACCAACGAGCTGCTACTGAAACCGGACATCGCCGCGCCTGGCTTCGACATTGTCAGCACAGTGCTGGACGGGGAGTATGAGGAAATGAGCGGGACGAGTATGGCCGCGCCGTACATCGCTGGAGTCGCTGCCCTCTGGATTGGCAAATATGGCGGCAGGGCTGTCCATGGGCCCAAGACCGCCAAGCTGGTCTCGGAGCGCATCACAACCAGTGGGAGCAGTGTTGCCTGGAGTGCAGACATTGTCCGCTTCAACCGAACGGCCCCTCCGTTCCAAGTTGGAACTGGGCTGGTTAACGCTCTCAAGGTCCTACACTATGACACGCAGATAAGTGCAAAGCCATTCTCTCTCCTGGACACGGAGTCATTCCAGCCCGATTGGACGGCAAATATTACCAACCGGGGAAATACCAGCGTCACCTATACTTTTGAAGTCGAGCCTCAATCCGGAATGGAGCTTCTGGATAGCTATTACGGCATCAAGACATTATTTGAGCTCACCCCCATAAACATCGTCCCCAATATCACCCTTCCCAAGCCAATCACGGTTCCGCCCATGAAGACTAAGACAGCCGAGTCTGTAATTCCATATCCCTCTTTTGGACAGAGAACATTGACTGAGATCTCCCTTTTTAGATTTTCCTTTCAGCTCCCCAAGATCAACGACGAGCTCCTACCACTCTATGGTGGAAAGATATGGTTCAAGGGGAGTAACGGGGAAAGCCTTTCTGTCCCCTATGGTGGTAAGTCTTACCAAAGCATACTCGAAGCAGACTTACCTTGCTAATACTCATACTCCTCAGGTGCGGCTTATGATACCGAAAAGGAGTTTGACTCCATGTTCGCAACTCAGCCGTATATAAACGAATTCGAGAACGACTGGAAGTAAGATTTCTCCCCCAACAGCACAGAAAAGACCCATTAGCTAACGCCAGATCCCACAACCAAGGTGGAGTTTCAATACCAACGTGAGGCCGTACGACTTCGTGGAGCTGTCTGCCCGCCTCCGGTATCCCTGCTCTCACCTCCGATGGGATGTAAGTTTGGGATTCCCCAAGAAGCCTAGCTAGATCTTGCCAATGAGTTCGGTAACTGACCCACCTCGCAGATTTTCTCCCGGTATTGGGATGAGCGCAGTTGGGTTCTACCCACTGTCCCCGGGGAAAACGGCTACATTGGTTCGGCAACTACATTCCGGGACGCCGACATGTTCTGGTACTTTGACCCGAAGCGCATGGACAAGGAGGACACGATCCCCTTCCCCATTATGCGCGTTCCAAGAGGTTATGGGAGCTACTGGTGGTTTGGCAAGTTGGCCAACGGCTCGTACATCAGACCGGGAAACTATACGTAAGTCACCTACTACATTATGCCCTTCCACTTTGGAATTCATTGCCATGTTACACCTAGGAACCGCCATCGGCAACATAAGTAAACATTTTCTGACACTCTTGGAAACAGTATGCGATTTGCGGCTTTGAGACCGTACGGGAACCCTAATCTCACAGATCACTGGGATATCATGGGTCAAGATGCGCTATCATTCGAAGTTCTGCCCATGAACACTACAAGAAATTCGACCAGGCTAATTAGACATGCCTACACATGAGCCGGAACCCCATTGGCGCGGTACTGAAATGCCCTTTAATTTGTTGGCCCCACCATTTAGGAGATTTGGATGGTACTTGAGTGGAGGTTAATAATGTTTTACTTGAAAATGGATGAGGATTCAGATGAGAGGACAACAGGCGATGGATAGTAAAAGGAGATAATGATCGGAGCACAGCTTCTTCCTGTTTAGATGATGAGTTTGAGCTTAATAGCATGATATCCAGACATTCAAGTCTATCTATCCGATAACAATCCCTGACATCTAAGAGAACGTCACAAATTCCAAAAACTGTAGGTAGGCACTGGAGCGTGTCTGCCGACCTAGGTATTCATACAAATCATAGATCTTGACATTAATATCGCAATTGTAAGCAAGACATACAAGGATAGCCTTACAGCCCACAGCGGCTAAAATAATCCAACATCAGGTTGGATCACGCCTGAAGCATACATCCAGTGTTGCTCTCCAGGGTGTGCCACTTGAAGAGGTTGATGAAATCGCTTTATGCCCATTTACCCAGAACACTCATGAGGACCAAACCGCTGATTAGACCGAAGAATGCCACGCAAGTAGTGATGACATTCGCATCCGCGAGTTCAGCCTTGCGGCCATGAGAACCCGTCACCCAGTCCGCGGCCCACATCTCAACCAGACCGACCCAGACGAGCATGCCAGCAGAAAGTGCATCAAGTGTACCAATGGCAATGAGTGTCGACTTGTCATTGCCGTTGAACTGTTTAAGAACACCGATACCAATGGCCATACCGATTGGGGTGATGAACGCGAAGCAGGAAGCGAGAATCAGTTTCTTCTTCATGCTTAGTCCTACAGGGACGGTCTCGGATGTTTCGGAGGAGCTTTCTGCTTGAGCAGATTTGCTCTCATTAGGACTTAAAATTCTACCACTTTCCACGGGGTGAAGCTCAAGATCGTCACGAGTCCCGATTGTAGCGATTCGGGTTCCTAGCGCAAGACCCTCGAATACTTGATGGAAAAGAATCACGACGAAGAGGGTCAAAAAGAAACTGTCGCCAGCAACGACAAGTGTGAGACCAATTACTAGGACAATGTTAGCGGAGGAAATACCGGAGAAGGATGAAGCAAGCTTACACAATGAGTGGAATAGGATACCGGCTTCCATTACCGTGATGCTCACGACCTCGCTCGAGATCAAGGCCTTGCTCTTTTCTTGGGGGTTGAGCGCTGCTTCGGATCGAATTTTGGCTTGAACGATGCGATGTCCAACGTACTCAACAAGGAACGAGAGGAAAATACCAGCCATGACGATGGCTGATGTAACACCTTCATATTCCAGTTCGCCAACGCAGTCATTGCTGAACATCATCGATGCATGAGTGTATAGCTATTGACAAACGGTCAGCAAAGATTTTTGTATAGCACATCATAGGGATAAATAAACTCACGTGAATGAAAGCAGTAGAAAGAATGATACCGGTACCGAACTGTTTTAGCCCTACAAACAGCAGGTTGAGCTTATTTTGGAAGAATTTGTGCATCAAGATGGGACCGAAGACGCCTATTTCTTGTCAGCGACGTCCAGCCAGAGCAAAGGGGTATCGGCAGTACCTAGTGAGCTTGTAGCAAGGATGACGAACAGCAGACCGACTCGAAGGCCGATGTTGTAATCCCGGGAGGTGGTTGTACAGGATGAGCTTGAGCTTGAGCCAGAGCTTGAGCTTTCTTCCTCACTACCCCCAGTACAGTGCCTAGAAGCACTTGTTAGGAATTGTTTACTAGAATGTTGCGGGTAGGGCAAGGCGTATCGATGACTTACTCAACTCCGGCATGGAAGTGGCAGTGTTCATTGCTAGTAGTTTCTTCCTCTTCATGTTCATGGGTCTCTTCAGTCTCCTCAGAGCCAGTTTCGCTTTCAGCTTGGACATCCTCTCCGCTTTCGTCAACGCAGTAACTAGGATGGAGATTAGTGGCCGACAAAAAGCAGAGAAAAAGACGACGGGTTGAGGTTTAGAAGAGATGACATACAAACTTGCGCCATGAGAATGGCAGTCTGTGTATTGCGCTGGGAGGGAGGTTGTGGCTGTCACTGTCGTCTTGATTTTGTACTCTGCCGTGCCAGCAAAGCAATATCTGTTGGGAATATTAGTGTTGAGCTGGACAGGAAGGAGTGGCGAGCCCGCTCACAAATCGGATGCATGAAGATGGCAGCCAGTGATGGCCGTGACCTGAGCCTGTGTTGTTGTGGTTGGCGCCTGGGTTTGTCTCGGGGCGAGATCAGCCATCGCAAGGCCACAGAGGGCTAATGTCAAACATGTTTTGGCAGACATGCTGACAAAGGTTATTAAGGTTGGCGTTAAGGTTATCCTTGGTGTGTGTGCCAATCCAAATCCAAATCCAACCCAAAAAGTTAGAGGTAACACCCGTTAGGAACCACCGCGGGAAACAAATAGGCGGGCGACGTGGTGGAGGTAAGGATGGGATGGACGGAACTAGGAAGTATGGTTGAGATCAAGCTTATTTATCAGTTCGCGATCGATGCGAGCGGATGCACTAGAGGATCACGAGTACCTCACACAAACCCAGAGTTGGCGTTACTCTTTGGACAGATGGAAGGGGAAAATGGAGCTGAATGAAGATATTTCACCAACTTCTCCGCTCAATCGAGGCATATACCTGCTGGAGAGGCAGGTGGTGGCTGCCTTCATTGGCAGTTGCTGCGGCCGCCAAGCCATGGCGACGGGTGGTGAGGACCTTGATGGTTCTGCCATGGAGAGAGAGTTGAGAACCTTGATGGTCCATGTCCACCAATTTCGAGGAGCCGCATCCTTTCAGCAACGCTCGTGCTAAGCCGCCCCACCCTGATGACCAAAACCACCACACATTTTGGCCAGATTTAGCAACAGCTCTGGCACCACCGAGCCAGCAGATCAGGCCAGGAGGGTGTTTGTACTTGAAGAATCCATGGCTTGGCTAATGCATCATGGTTGACATCCGAGAGGCCTTATCTCATCACCCTAGCCTGCCGTGAAGTTAAAAACCTAATATCAGGAAGGCCCTGTCAGCATAGTGTATCAAAAACGGTTGGGCATAAATTAGATGCTCCCACGTCATCTGAGAAGCACTTGTCTGAGATATGTAAGACCGGCCCCGTGTTGAGGTCAGACTGTCTTACCACTGATGAATGTCTGCCACGTGATGAGGCAATGGTGCTCTCAACATGTAACGGCTTCTCGTAACGCTGTGTCACGCCTGGGTTTCGGTTATAACCTCGCCAGTTGTGAAGCTTAGTCACCTGTCTGGGTAGTACCTAGGTACCAAGGTGTCTCGGCAAAGACTTATTCCGCGCCGAAATTATGGGTCTGATGAGCCAGGAAACTACTAAACCGACAATGCAGGAGCAAATTTTTCATTTCTTTTCTTTCTTTCTTCTTCATGAAACCTACTAGAAATTTAATCCTTCAAATTCACTCTGGCTTTCATATCAATGGAGGTAGCGGAGGGGAAACTGGAGGAAAGAGAAACATCGTCGACTTACCCTCTGTTTTGCTTGCAGTTCGCTGCGAATGAGCTATGGAGAAATTTTTTTCGACGGCGAGATATTCCTTCTTCGACCCCGTAAACGTAGTATGGCATCAAGGCCGGAAGCGTGGATCGCCACGCTCGCAGACCATGTATATCCATTGATGAAAAGATACACATCATATGCGCCAGAAGTAATGGCTCATTGCAACGTATCGGGTCGCGAATAATGCTGCTGGTGCAAGGATTGATGCGAACCAGGGGAAAGGAGTTCCTACTGAATCTCCATTCACTGGTGTCGCGTTCGACGCGCCTTGTCCATACTTTTGCCTGATGTGAGAGGTCGACTGTCCTCTTGGTGTCATCACCATCCACCATTAATTGCCAAATGAGCAGGAAATCTTTGTCCATTTCCCTCAACGGAACTATAACACACACAAGATGAGTTCATATCTACACTCGGACAGCAGTAGTCGAGTCCTGGCCTGAGTGTAGCCTGAGTGTTGGCACAGAGCGCGTGCCTCCACCCCACCATGATGACACACGAGAGACCAAAGAGCACTGATGCTACCTGGTGGGGGACGGCACGACCTAGCTGGCGTACTACAAGAGGATGATTGATAGAGCAAGTTTAGGTTGTATGATCCAGTGCTCTGCTTCGTCGTCATGTAAGAACATTCAGGCTCTGTTTTACATGTTTTGTAATCTTGGAACAGTACAAAACGTTGGTTGGTGAGTCAACGCGTTGGTGAATCGTGGCACGCTACATGATGACTGTCTGTGATCGACCTATATTATCAACCCCGCTACCCCGCTACCACCCGTTACACCTATCAAGGCTCGAGCATTTGCGATTTCTTCAACACTCTGCTGAATTCTATTCTCTCTCCATTTCCCTTATTCTCCAGGTTTTCTGTCACATTAGACATTCCTCAGTTGAGAAATTTTCTACCCAGTAACTCCCAACCCACACATCTTTTTTTATACAAAAAATCCCCTTCATCATGGCTGGTGGTGCTCCAGGGTCAAGCTCTCGCGGTCGCGGAGGGAAATTCAAGAAGTACACAAGAGGAGGTAAGAACGCAGCATAAATCAAGGTTCAAATATTGTTTTAGCTAACCGAGTGGCTCCATTACCCATGTTACAGGCGGCCATCACTTCTCACGCGATCTACAACCCCTCGACTCGGAAGGAAATGCCGTTAGCATGTGGGGTGCGGGCGATGCGAAGAAGGACGACTCTGAATCCGAGGAAGACTCTGAGTCCGAGGAGGAGGACAGCGAGGATGACGATGCGAACGCCAAGGCGTCGGCCGCTGCTGCCGCCTCGCGCGATGACCGCAAGGCCCTAAAGAAGGCCCGCAAGGAGGCCGCCATCGCCAAGCAAAAGGGCAAGACGGTCGAGGTGGGTGACCTGCCCTCGAGCGACGAGGAGAGCGAGGAGAGCGAGGACGACGATATGCCCGCCAACCCCAACCATTCCAAAGCTGCCCGCAAGCA